TATCTTCCCACTCACGGTCCAATCTGCAGCAACATCGTGCTAATTAACGATGTGATCAAATTCTACTTGAAGAGTCGAAGAGAGAGAGATAGAAGTGTTGCGGGTGGGCTGCAGCAAAGCAACACAAAGCGAAGAAGTACGGAAGAAGAAGTGAGGAGCAGGCGAGCAACTAGGGTTATAGGGGTAAAAAAACGACATCATTTCGGAGTTAAGCGACGTTGTTTTAAAGGTTAAATCGATTTGGTTTGGTTTGATTTTCAAACCACTAAAACAGAAACCAAACCAACCAATTTCGATTCGGTTTGATTTTTCAAATTCGGTTTGATTTTTTTGTTCGATTTTATTAACTTCAGTTCGGTACTTTCGATTTTCAAATTTTTTAACCACCCCTAAGTAGAAGAAATGGGGATGTGAAAGACTAGATATGGGATAAAACAACCCCTATGTAGTTGAACAATAAATTAATAACACTGTATTGAATTTTCTCTTTAATTTCATCATTTAAAGTTGTTCACACTGAATATGTTTATGGCTCCATCATGCAGATGACAGATGGTTTTGCTTTCAGCTGGGGCATGAAAGTCATTACAATATACTCGTGACCAATTAGAATCAATCTTATCTTTGGGGACGCCGTGTTTAACATTTAGCAGAAGATAACATTTCTTCGATCAGAAACAATGGACTTCATTGAGTTAGTATAATTATATAGTTTATAATCAGTGAACGGTGAGGAATGTGTTGCCATAGAAAAGGACTCTACGATCGTCGCAGTCGTAGAGAGGTTTCACTTCTGAAAAAGAATGAGTGGCCAAACTAAAAGAAGAAAAATTAACTTTTTTTATTTTATCTGAGAAATCTCACCGCTTGAATTTGCATTCAAATTCACTCTTGCAATTAATTTGTCAAAGCATATAATATTTCTTTGATCATAAATGCTATATGGACTTCTTTAATTCCAACCAAATAATATTTAGTCATCCAATCAAGTAAAACAATATATATAATTTCATGAAAAAGAACACTCATATATATAGTGAGTTGTAGTTGAGAAATATTTTCGTCATCCCACAAAAATCCCTCTATTAGAGTGATTTTTCGCAATAGTTCTAACTGTTCAAATATCACTCTTACAAATAATTAGTAATCATGTAATATTCTGTTATCTAACGATGATCATACAAATAAAAAAAAAAAAAATTCTTATAAAAATGAAAATTGTCATGTCCAATAATGAAATGATTTCTGATTTAGATAATTTTTTGTTTTAGAGATATCTTTGAATGATTACCAAAAGAATGAGCAATCATAAGATGAATTTGTAGAATGGACTCAAATAAGCAGTTATCGTAGGATTAATTTATCGACTACTTAGCACAAGAGCATTGTTACATAATATTTTATTTGGTTTCGATTCATAAGCTGTTATTGGGTTCGGGTTTTATATATACTTTATTCCTCAACGGAGCGGTTTTATACGTTAAATAAAGTATGGTCTTCAGTGCTGTTTTTAGAATATTTTTTTTCTTAACGGTGCGGTTTTAGGCATAAGCTCTATTAAATGAGTCATTCATTGTATCAGGCGTGCCACTATTGATTTATACTAACAAAAATGTTATTATTTCAATGTAAGCTTGCATCATACGTAAATTAAGCTTCTAATCAAAAGATCGCGTCATAGATGGGGTTAAGATCCTTGTTAAGATTTTTTCTGTGTCTTGCTTTGTAAAGGACTTCAAATATTTTCTTTATGTATGTCTAGTGGCGGAGCCAGGAATTTAAGATAATGGAGTCAAAAGTTGAGCTTCCATTACTAATGACACAAAGCAAGCAATTCTGAATTCAAACACTGCCTTGATGTTTTGTTTGTCATTACCTTGAGGGTCATGGATGGCTCTCCTGAGAATAGCACTTTCGTCTTTGATAGGGCAAGATTTACAGCAGGTAGTATCCTTCTGGCCACACCAAGAATGTCACCTTCTTTGAGTAATAGATCACACTTCTTTTCGGTATTATTTCTGTGAATCAAGTCGAAATAAAACAATGAGCATTGGATACAAATGAATCCTCCTGAAACAAAGAAAAAAGTGACCGAAAGGGAAGATCAAAGGGCGAAAAAATGACTAGGTGCTGTCATGGTCCAGTCCTAATTGTTTAATGACTATGGGCATCAATAAGGATAACAACAAATCCATATGTTAGAAGAATTTAACATCTCATGCATTGCAAATTTGAAAGAGTGAAATGATGGCTCATAATTTCTAGAGGATCTCCAACTGTTTAAGACATTTCGATACAGATTTCGTTATGGGACATCTCGCATTGGACGAACGCTTTTAATGGCTTCTTATATTAAATTGGATAGGATCCACAACGAAAATCCTATATCCAAAAGGATGATTCCAGTTTTCCCAACATAATCCAAAAATCTAGACATATATTTTATCTAATTTCTTTAAACAAAAAGCCAAATCTACGTACATAATTTCATAAATTTAACACATAGGTAACATTCTTTTGGCATATTGAACCTGGTACATATTTACACAAAAATCAACCTGGTCAATAGTCTAGATTCACAGTCGACAAATGATATTTCCTTGATCAACAAAATAAAAGGAATAAAAAGAATTATTGATGAACTTCTACTGAAGATCATCCGGGATCGTATTCTTGGACCGATTGGAAAGCGGATTGATATTGGGATTATTGGAGATCAAGTAAGGATGCAATTCTTGGTCCTCAACGTAAAACCAATCAGGGGAAGCAGTGTCACGAAGAAAGTGAAAGCAGGGGTTGAAATAACCAGAAATTGGCATCTGGGCGTGTGATCTTGGCACAAATTCAGGTGCTTGTGCATTGAATTTGAACGATGGACTTCTTGGGTTTTCTTTCACCTCCATTTCTAGGACCTCTTGGGTTTTTTCCCCAGATGGTTGTACTTGCGCCATTTTTTCGTCCTTTGATCTTCTTCAGTTCTCTCTTTCAAGTACCAGTTCTGTACAAGGTTATTGGGGTCAAGGAATTCCATTGCCCCCACCTTGGCTCCGCTACTGTGTATGTCAAGTGATAACCACAAACTGATTGACTCTTAATTCAACTCAGTTTGCAATACTTACATATATGTTTACATAAATGTATGAAAGACTACGAAAATAAAGGAACAGAAAGAAAATGATGTTAAATACTTGGCAAATATTCAACTACAAAGTAATAATTTGAAGAAAATGCAAAATACAAGTAATAAGTTGAAGGAAATGCAAAATAGAAGAGATCGAACAAGTTTAAACCTATCGGGCAAATTTTCTTACTAGTCGGGCAACTTCGTGCATGTTGTTGAAGTGTTTGAAAGAAATGTTTCTTAAAAGGAATCGATATTACAAGCAATGTAGTAGAGCTTTAAACATAAATACAAGTACAAAGATACTGGATTACAAAAGGAATTTAATAGGCACCATAGCTTTAAAGTCTTTTTAAGTTGTGATTTGAGTATTATTTTCTTCTTCTTTTATGCTGCTTTTTATAGAACAGACCTTTCTTTAAGTCTTTTACTCTCAAAATATTTCTCTCTGCTCCTAGTTGCTGATGTAACTAATAATAGAAGATAATAATTTGCATAATAACTTGAGCTTTTACCCCTCAAAACTACCAAAATGCAGGACGTAGCTTTTCCTTTGTAAAAACTAACCGGTTAAACGAGAGGTCTTAGGTTCAATTCTCACCAAAGGTGAATTTGAACCACATTGTTGTTAACCCATTGTGATACTAAGCTCATCCCCCTCCCTTTAGTATAGATAATATCGTTTGTTCAGAAGAAGGAAAAAAAAAAAAAAAAAAAAAAAACAACAACAACAACAACAAAACTTGTGTTTGCCGTCCACAATCCCATGTATAAAGTATTTTCAAATCTTTGGACTTGACTACTGTTCAATTGTGTTGAAATTAAATATTCAATAAAATCTAGTGAAGTAAAAGCATTTGGGCCTTGTACAGGCCCAAACTTATTTTAAGTCCAAACAGGAAAAATAAACCGTTTTGTTATACCATTCTTTGTTTATTAATTTGTTTACAAAGTGTCAAATTCGATTAATTGAGCATAACCTGTTCCAAACATTTTACCTCAACAGATATACAATCAAATCATGCCGATATTAGGATATTCAAGGGTTGCACTTTCATATATCTACATATATACATGCTACTTTAAACACTTGCAATCCTTCAACTTCTTCAACCATCAAATGATGGAAACAGATGAAGGAGATGATTGTGATAGTACCAAATAAGAGTACAAATCAACACTTAATACATATCTTTGACCTTTTTCATGAATGCACTAACTCCAACAGAATGCTGTAAATTATAAATCAAATTAAGCCAAGATCATTAAACTTCATGATTTCCGCATATGCATTAGATGCGGAAATACAATAAATAACGAAGCGTATCTTGATTCATGATGGCAAACGATATGAGATCCCAATCGGTTTCGATCAGCAGAGAAAATAATTGTTCTCTCTCTTGCCTAATCGTGTTTTATGTCAAGGGATATTGGATGGATGGATATATATATATATATATTCAATTACCACTCATCACGGTCATAAGATAGGAAACCAATTATCATTGTTTGACCAATATGATTGCTTCCGAAACAATATTCATTAAATCGAATATATCACACATGGACTATTTCATATGGGTCACCATAGAATATTCAAATATTCTTACATTCTCCCACATCTTAGACATGGTCTCTTATGCTTGCTCATCCAAGTCTGAACACCATTGGCTGCAAATAGGTTTTTCGTGTTAAGCCTAATCTTGATGGCTCTATTGAAAGGTATAAAGCTCATCTTGTGGCCAAACAATTTCATCAACAGCCAAGTATTGACTATGGTGAGAAATTTAGCTCTGTTGTTAAACCTACTATTATTTGCACGGTTACCTCAATTTGGCTATTTCTCGGGATTTGTCGTTACGTTAGTTGGAAGTCAAAAATGCATTTCTTCATAGGGTTGCTTCAGGAAGATGTCTACATTTCTCAGCCCCTGGCTTTGTTGACCATGCTCGTCCTTATCATGTCAACCACCTTCCCAAATCTCTCATGGTCTCAAACAGGCTCCCGTGTTGGTTCAACTAGATCAGTTATTTCCTCTTGTCCATTAGATTTACTTAGAGTTACACTAACTCATCTCTTTCTATATTTCAATGTCTCACTCACATTATATATTTGCTCATTTATGAGGATGATATTGTCGTCACTAATAACTCTCTAGATCTTGTTACTCAATTTGTTGATCTTCATGGCAAGCAATTCAACATTAAATATTTAGGCCCCTCATATTTTATGGGGTTAGAGGTTACTTGTGACTCCATTGGCCTACGTGTTCATCAACTTAATTATGCTTAGATCTTTCTTACGAAATTTTATATGGTTTCTCATAAGTCAGCCTTGACCCCTCTTGCTACCAAGGTTGCTTTCACTGCTACAAATGACTTTCTGCTCACTTTTGCCACTACTTTTGTGAGTTGGTTGGCTATCTGTAGTATCTTACTTTCACTCATCCTGAAATTTCCTTCACTGTCAACATTGTTGCTCAGTATATGACTTCTCCTCGTACTACTCACATGATAGCTGCTACGTGGATTCTCTATTGTGTTAAAGTTACTTTAGACTTCGATATTCATTTGCATCCTCAAACTACTTTTGCTGCTCTATCTACTTATTCTGATGTTGATTGGGCGAGTTATCAGGATACTAGACGCCCCACTACTGGCTATCTTATTTATCTGGGTTCTAATCTTATATCCTGGTTCTCTGAAAAGCAACCCACTATTTATGAGTGTGAGTATCGCTCTCTTACTCATGAGTGTGCTGAAACCATTTGGATTCGCTTGTCCACTCCTATTTGACTGCATTACGATTATTTGAGAATAACATATCGCGCTACTAACCCAGTTTATTATGCCCTCACACGTCAGATATAACTTGATTATCATGTTGTTTGTGAAAAAGTTGTGCGGGGAGGGGGAAGAAGGTGTGTGTTAGACTAGATGTAATTAATCTGAAATCATATCAGTAATCGTAATATGTGTTATAGGAATGTAATTTCCAATTGTATTTAATGTAGAATTCCTATCTAAACAAGGATAAATATAACCCTATATATTGTTATATTTTCACACATCAACACAAAGAGTCATATTTCTACACTACCATTTGTCACATAATGACATTTAAATCCCCAACGGTTATGGCCCCCCAAGCTTCCTAATCTTCTACCACTTCATACAATATCATGCAAATCCTGATAGAAATTTGCCCCATTTTAAGCTAATTGGCCCCCATTAAATTCTGGGTGGTTAATAACCTTTGACTTTCTTTCCAAATTTAGCCCATTTATACATTATTCCTTTGCAAATTATAATAAACAAGTTATTCAATGAAAAAATAGGTTACTGCAAGTTCAAGTGGCTCTCTATCACAGTGGTGGAAAGAAGTATTGTCCTTGCACCGTGGCGTTCGTTCAAACTCCGTTGGCTTCCTAATTTAACAAATTTATCGTTTGACAAAAAAATAATAATAAAATAAAATAAAAGGTTACAACTGACAAATAATAGATTTTTCATATTTTTATTTGGGTAATACTAGGGGGACCAAAATGTTAAATTAAATTTTGTAACAGAATGATGTGGTTGTTGATGATTGGATTATTACTTAAGTATTGATTAACATGTTATTTTCTATTGGTAATACATCATTTGATTTGTAAATTTGATTTAAAAATTTGGTCTACCTAGCATTACCTCTTTTATTTGGTTGAATATTGTGGAAGTTAAATAATCTCTCATCCCCCTCCTCCTCTATAACATCCCACATTGCTCAGGGAAGTGGATTATATATGCCTTATATGTATATTTCCATCTCTACCTAGCATGAAGCCTTTTGGGAGCTCACTGGCTTTGGAGTTCATTGGAGCTCCGAAGTTAAGCGAGTTTGCGCGTGAGCAATCCCAGGATGGGTGACCCACTGAGAAGTTCTCGTGTGAGTTCCCAGAAATAAAACCATGAGGGCGTGTTGGGGGCCCAAAGTGGACAACATCGTGCTACGGTGGAGTCGAGCCCGGGATGTGGTGGGGGCTCGGGCCAGGATGTGACAATTTAGTATCAGAGCCAATCTCTAGCTAAGTGTGCCGACGAAGACGTCGGGCCCCTAAAGGGGGTGGATTGTAACTTTCCACATCGCCTAAGGGAGTGGATCCTCTATGCCTTATATGTATATTTCCATCTCTACCTAGCACGAGGCCTTTTGTGAGTTCACTGGCTTCGGAGTTCAATGGAACTCCGAAGTTAAGCGAGTTCATGCGAGAGCAATCCCAGGATGGGTGACCTACTGGGAAGTTCTCATGTGAGTTTCTAGAAACAAAACCATGAGGGCGTGTTGGGGGCCCAAAGTGGACAATATCGTGCTACGATGAAGTCAAGCTTGGGATGTGGTGGTGGCCCGGGCCAGGATTTGACATTCCCCCTCCCCCACAAACTTTGTATCCTAGCTCGACATGCTCTTGATTTGTCATATGAGCAATGCGGTTTAAAAGGCCCACCATGCAGAGAACACGACAAGGTCTTTTAGGCATGTTAGTCATTTGATATCATTACAAAAGTAAAAGATGAAATATAATTTCAATTTCAACAAGGCCAATGTGATATTAATAAAAACCGTAGCCCAACCTTCTTGCTACCAAAAACTTTTTGCGATGAGTTGAATCAAATGGTGGCACAATTTTGGTGGGGAAAGGAACAAGGGAAGCGATGGATACATTAGATTCAGTGAAAAAATTTATGTAAACCAAAGGGAGAGGGTGGTATTGGCTTTAAGGATATCTATGCCTTTAATCTAGCTTGCTTGGCAAAGCAAGGGTGGTGGTTGATCCATGAACAATCCTCTCTGGCATCCCAAATTTTTAAAGCCAAGTATTATCCACAAATTGATTTTCTTTAGGCATCGGTGAAAGCAAATTCATCTTATGGTTGAAGAAGTATAGTGAAAGCTCGCAAAGTAATTAGGGCTGGAGCTTGATGGAGAGTGGGAGATGAAGCATCTACTAAAATATAGGGGGATAGTTAGTTACCGAGGAAAAGTTTCTTCAAAGCGCTCAGTCCTATACCGGTAGGGATGGATCGGTCAGACACGATGTCTAAGTTGATCTCACAAGAAGAGGGCGTTAGTTGGAATTTGGACATTATAAATGAGTTATTTTGGGAACATGAAGCTTACTTGATTCAAAGTATTCCCCTTAGTACACGGAAACCACCAAACCAGTTGATTTAGAATGCAGAGCTGAATGGAAAATTTACAACCAAGAGTGCATATTATCTTTCAAGATTCATGGGTGATGTGCATGGTTAAGTAAGTAGCGGATCCTCAATTACCGTATAAATTAATTTTCTATGAAAGGCCTTGTGGAGGGCTCGAGTACCTGAGAAAGTGAAGATTTGTGTTTGGCGGATTTGTTGGAATGCTTTACCAACCTGTAATAACCTGAGAAAAAAGAAAATCACCATGGATGATGTGTGCATGTTTTGTAATGGAGAAAATGAAACTTTGGTGGATTTGATAGGAAATTGTCTGAGAGCAACGTCGGTGTGGTTGTCTTGTCCGTTAAGGCTACGAAGCCGGACAAACTCAATGGAGAGTATGATGGATTGGATAGCTAAACTTGCAGGTGAGTTGTCCAGAGATAGTTTCGATTTATTCCTTATTCTTCTTTGGAGTATGTGGAAAGAAAGGAACTCGAACTAATGGAACTAATTTGTCGGGCAATTAGTTGGATGAAAGAATTCCAACACTAGCATGGGACAAATGAAAAACATAGCTGTAAAGTTTCTAAAAAATGGAAGAAGCCGAGAGAAGGATGGTACAAGTGTAATTTTGATGCGGCTTAGGATGAAAATAAAAGTATTGGTCACGGTTGGGGTGGTGATTCGGAACAATAGGGGTGATTTTGTGGCGGCCTTGGCAAAATGTTATTTCTTCCCCTCTGCTAGCCGAGACTATGGCAGCTAGGGATGCTGCTTGGTTGGTTAAGGAGAAGCATTCACAGGCCTTGGTTTTCGAAGGGGATGCGTTACTTGTGATGGCAGCTCTTCAACTAGATAGTCAACAGGATCACTCGTCGTTCAAAAATATTCTAAATGATTCAGGCATTGCCCCAATGGAAAGTTAGTTTTGGCGGTAGAGAGACGAATAAAGTGGCGCATAAATTAGCACGAATGAGTTTTAGTTGTGATAATCCTATTCTTTGGTTTGAAGAACCTCCTGATGTAATTGTGGATCTTCTCTTTGAGGATAATATTTCCTAATTTGTTTGGTGCGAGACACTTTTTTTCCTTTCGATTGGGTTGAAGTTCGTGACAAGGTTTTATCGAGGCCCATTGTATGCACCCTATCCTCATATTTCTATCATTAATGAATATCATATTTTTTTTCTCAAAAACAAGCCCAATGTGTTACTACTTTTATGGTATCCTCATTAAGTGAAAAGAAAGATTGACGCTAAGCTTTAATTATAATCAATGAAACGTTAAGATATAACATGACTACTGCTGGTCATCTAGGCAGTGCAATTTAATGTTCACCAAGCCGAGAACACGAAAATGTCTTTTAGGCATGTTAGCCATTTGTTATCACTACAGAATTAGAAGAAGAAATTCAGTTTAAATTTGAAGAAGATCTTTACTCCATTAGGTTATGGTATCCTCATTAAGTGGAAAGTGAAAGACCGACGAACGAATCTTTAATTATAATCAATGCCCACTCAATTTACGGCATGACTACCATTTGTCATTTAGGTAGTGAGATTTAAAATGTCCACCATGCCGAGAACACAGTAAGGTCATTTACTCATGTTAGCCATTTGTTACCACAACAAAATTAGAAAATGAAATCTAGTTTAAATTTGAACGAAATCTATCTGCCATTAGGTTATTGTATTCTCATTAAGTGAAAAGTGAAAGATCAAGTCCTAATTTTTAAGGCTTTTTAACTAAAATGGTCCTTGAGGTTTGCCTAACTCTTCACTTTGGTCTTTGAGATTTGAAATCAATAGAAGTGGTCCCTGAGATTGTCCACCATCAATCATTTTGGTCATTTGGTGAAAAATTATGTTAAATAAGGATCAAAATGACAAAATGACCCTCAATACAATAAACAATAGCCAAAATGATTTAACAAAAATTGAGGGTATTTTTATCATTTTATTTTTATTTTATGGAGATTTTTGTGGAATGATCAAAATGATTGAGTGTGGACAAACTCGGGGACCAATTATATTGATTTCAAATCTCAAAGACTAAAGTGAGGAGTTATGCAAATCTCAGGGAACATTTTGGCTAAAAAGCCAATCTTTAATTATAATCAATGCCTAGTCAAGTTACGGCATGACTACCATTTGTCATTTAGGCATTGAGATTTAGAATGCCCGCCATGCCGAGAACACGGTAAGGTCTTTTAGGCCTATTAGCCATTTGTTATACTACATAACTAGAAGAAGAAATGCAGTTTAAATTTGAACAAAATCTATACACCATTAGGTTCTGGTATCCTCATTAGAGCAACTTCACCCCTAAAAAATGAATTGGCTCACCCAAATGAATAGTAATTGACCCTAATGAACAGTAATTAGCCAAGTGCATCTCCACTCCTAAAACTAAATAGCTTAGTCAATTTTTTTTAAAATATTATTAATATTTTATTATAAAATAATAACAAATAATAATTTGATTTTTAATCTATGACATTTTCTTTATTTATAAAAAAATATTATTAAATTTTGACATTTTATTTATTTATTTATTTTTAAAATTTTTATGGCCGAAAAATCTGGACCGTTGATCTGAAAATCGAACGGTCCAGATTGTGCTACGTCAGTAGCCGTTAATTTTGAATTTCAAATTTTTTTAGCATTGGAAATCCAACAGACATTGAGGCAGCACGTATCCCCACGCCATAATCCCATAATGCGCATGCACGATGGGCCCCACCTTTGCGACGTTGTCAGCAACTCATGCCCACGTGCGCGTATTTTCCACGCGCCTAGCTCAAAAAAAGGGTTTCACGTGGCTGACGTCAACTATACGTCATACAACCCGGTTTCTTGCTCAGTCCATTATGTGCTGGGCTCAAAGCTGCCCTCCACTTTGGGCCAGCCTATTGGGTGGGGTGGAGTGGGTTTTTTGGGGGGCGAGGGCTGGAGGGGAAGGGTGTGGAGCGTTGATATATAACTAATGGAATGTTTAGAGTAGCCTCATTTCCCAATAAAATGATCTTGTCAGTATTGGTATAAATGACATTTCTCTCATGTTCGGCTATAGTAGTAACTCCGGAATCTAAAGCCACTTGGTATTCCAATCCAGTTCCAACAATGCACTTTTCAGACCGAGAAAACGAAACTGCTTGACGTTGCATATTAGAACTCATTAAAGCCCAATTCGCATCATTATGCTCAATAAAAGGAATTAAGGAAGCTCTAATAGAAAAATATTGGAAGGGAAAAATACTTCGAAGATGAACCTGTTCCCATTCAATAGTCAGGAATTCTTGACGGTATCAAGCTGGAACAACTTGTTCTTCCTGAATACCTCGATTCAATGCCAAAGAATTTCATGTCGCTACCATGTAGTATTCATATTTACTTGGTGATAAATAAAGCATCCTTTTTTATCTCTCAAAAATTTCATAAAACGGACTTTCTAGAGATCCTCAATAACCAATCTTCGCATGAATTGCTAAGGATCCAATAACACTACTAGAAATTTGGCTATAAGCCACTCTTTTCATTCGGTGGCTATTGTCAAGTGTTGCCACTCATATTGGTGGCAAACCTGTATGGCCACTAAGCACCCACTAAACTAGAGAGTGTGGCCTATGTAGAGGACTCTATTGTTACAATAGCTACCAATATTACATTGGTGGGTATGTGAATAGTACAACATTTTTATATTTTATAATTATTTCTAAATTTCAAAGCATGTCATTGTCTCTCTTATTAGTGGCTAGGTTTGAGACTAACATTGGTGGCTTTTATACTCATACACCCACCAATCCTATGTGTCTCTATTAGGATTAGTGGCTTTTAAAGTTAGGCACCAACACTGGTGTGAATCTATAGCATTCCAAATGTCCGGTAGGTTGGAATTGTATTACATGCATTTTAGTAATAGCTATGTACTCTATTAAAACTCAGCTTCTTAATATAGAATTGGCAAGAAATTTAAATTTTCAAAAGGATTCACATTGACAACCAACCACACTTTATATCCCCATACATTTATCAATAACAAGGTTTGTCTCTATTAAAGACACCATATTACATTCAAGTCTGTTGTCCAACACATCCAAGTACCCAAGGATGATGACATTACATTTTGTTTCACCTATGTACCTATGCACATCCACCAACAACAAACTGAACAAACAACTCCACCCACTTGGATCTATGCCTTCCCTATGGCATTTGTATATATACATGAAGCAAAATTCACAAAAACGTATCACAGTTAGCTTATCACTTACTGAAGCCAGTGACATTCACCATGCATGGACGATACCCAAGCTCATCATCTGTGCCATTATTCTGTACCACAACAAAACCCTCATCTTCAACTTCTCCACTTGCTTGGATCTCCATACCATTCCCTTGTTCAATTCTATTGACACAAACTTGAGGCACATCAATGTGATTTGGTTCCACCATGCCTCTATCAGCAGCCCTCTTCAGCGCGAACATAATTTCAGCCCTCATTTCACGCTTCATATTCTCCACTTCCAATTCCACCTGTCTATTGTGTGCCACCATTGACTCGGCATATTCTTTCCTCAATTGTGCAACCACATTTGCTGCCTCAATCCTTTGCCTTTCTTCTCTCTCACTTGCCTCCATCTTAAGTTTCTCAATTTCAAAGTTAGCAGCTTTTCTTTGCTCCTCATACGATGCTTTAATTGCTTCAACCTCTCTACAAATTCCCCTTTTCTCAGTTATAATACCTGGCACATCAGACCACACAACCCCTGTCCCAAACCCTCTTACACGGTTGTCTCTCTCAGGCCCCAATACATTAGCGTACACAATATGCCGAACCTCATCAGTTATGATCTCATTCCTATCCTCGTACAACTTCAGGTTTGTATTGAATTCATCCTGCAAGTTGTTTCCAAAATTAATTACCAATGTATTTGCACTGTATATACATTTGAAAGCCTTCTAAATCAAAGATATTCCAACCATGTTTCTCAAAAAAACTAGTACTATTAGTTATTGTTCTGTTCTTCAGACTACAGTGCCTACCAATAAACTCATATGCATCAGAATCTTTCATTACTTCACTGTATTCACTAATGCAAGCTGCTGTTGCCTTATGCTCTTTGTTTCACTGACATTAAATAGCACATAATCTAATACGCCTGATTGTTCACATTCCACAAACCTTTTATATATCTCACCTACAGATAAATTGTAGCAGCCGGTAATTGATGGCATACTTACAATTATTGCAGCTGATCGAGCATCCACTGGTTCCCCATTCTTCCGAGTATGTGTTAGCGTAAAGAATGTGATGCGGTCTGGTTTGCTTCCATTCGCTTGTTCCTGTTAACAGAAATTGTCAAACAACTAATTGACGAGTAATTTCATAACATTGTTTTCGACCGGCACCTTCATTCCATGTGCACTAACATGTAGTTAAGTTACCATAACACAGAACTCACGGCAGAGCCTTACATGTTCGTGTCTGAATTGCGCAAAAGACTTGGTTCCAGTCGTGTGATTTATTTGTAGCGCTTTCCTGTTCTTTCTACATGATGTAGCACGCTTCTACAGATGCCAAGTTTAGCATGCATTATTAGGGCTATGTGAAAGGAAATTCATCCTAATTTCCAATACATACAATCCATACATTTATCATCCACATTATGTCATAACTAAAGAAAGCATATATGGTGCATAAAAAAGGAAGAACTTTGATCATTGTGTGTACTACCTGAGCATCTACAGTGTCCCATAGTTGTACTAACAATTTCCATTGGCCTTGGTTGACACGGCCATCATGACAATGGAACCTCTCCGCTAACGGTGAGTGCAGGCATGGCGTATAGTATGCCTTCTTCAGGTTTGCCTTGTAATCCTTCCATCTATCATTCAACTTCTTCTCACAAACCCGCCGAATTTTGGGCTCCAATTCGAGTGTTATACCATCTGTCCAATCAAGAGTCCCCTGCCCATGTACATATACATGATGTTGTTAATTATGCACCATCATTTAATACATGAATTATGAATTTGTATAGTGAACCCGTAATACCCATCCAGTAGGTTTCAAATATTTGTGTAATCGTACAAATTAAATTTACAACAGACAAAGTTAAAAGAAGCCTCATTGCGCATCACCAATCTGCATAGATGCTGCCTTTTAGTGGTGTATAATGTGCTATAGACCCTATTGTAATTGTCTATGGAGCCTCTTACGACATAATTGGTGCATCTCATTTCAAATATATCACAATGAACCCCAATTTATTGTACTGCTACTTTCTAAGTCACCAACTGCAAAATAATTGACATGGCCAATTATTTGTTAAACTTGTGTATGGATAACAGCAGTTCAGGTCAAAGTAGGTTTCGAATGCATTAATCATAATTAAAAGCCTAAGGCTTCAACCCTGCTTGTTGAGTAAGTCAATAATAGGCCATGTGATGCCATTATGTGGTTTTTTTTTTTCCAGGGTTACAACTAAAAAGCAATGAAATAACTAGCTATATATATAGGAAAACCAACCAACCATTAATGCCTTTACTGTTGATTTACCTTAATCCTCTGCCAAGCACGATCCATGTTTGAAGCCCTGTAGAAATGCCTCCAATCAACTACATTAATTGGAAAATATGATGCTTCTTGAGCTAGCATTCCTAAGAACCTAGAAAATCTAGCAACGGTATGAGGAGGCTCTACCGGCTGCCCTTGCTCATTAAATTTCATCAGCTCCTTTGTACCATTTGGTGCCCATCGTGGCCTATTTATTCCCCTACTCGCCTGCACTGAACGGGTTATACGTTGACGTTCATCCACGATGCCTTCGACATTATTTGGAATTGTGAATTGCTGTATGTGGTCATGTTCCATCAGGTTGAATGCCAATGGTTGAGTTTCGATGCCTTCGTCAATCGACATTGATGCAACTGAGTTATTCTTGCTGACCCACAGCACCTTCGTAATAACTTTTCATGTAAACACAACACAAGAGTGTTTAATTAACATTTGTAAACAAAAGCATTTCAATTTAACACCTCAATTAATTTCCTAGTAAGAAGAGAAGAGTGGTAGATACCTGCTGCAATGGCTTTAATGTAACCTCTGTGCCTGAAGATAATTTCTTCTTTGAGTTGATAACTTGATGCATCTAAACAGCTAAAGTGAATAAAGTTAATTAAATGAATCCACACACGTTTCCTATTTGAGAGCAGCAAATTGAAAATTTGGCAGATACTTAACTTGAGCGGGAAATCCTCCCGCCCAGTAATCCCTAGGAAAACAATTATTTAATTCATACACACTTATGGAGGTCAGCAGGTAGCCACAAAAAATGGCCAGGTGTTGCTATTACCAAATAAAATAATTGGCAACCCATTAAATAATTGATCAGTCTGTGAGGTGGCAGATGGTTGATGAGATTGGCATATGCATTGTGTGGTCAAATTTGAGTGCTTTTGTAAGAAGAATCCCGGAACTATTAATTTTCCACACCCTAATTAAATGTTAATCCACTAAGTGGGTGTGAACTTACAATTAAGTGCCCTGCCCTCCATTCTAATCTCAATTATAAATATCAACCTTGAAGAGGTTTTTGGACGTACAGCAGTTTCAACTTCGTCTGAAATTTACACCTAATCACCAATGTCGCCTTTATTCCCAAATGCTCGCAGACAGCTATTTTGTAACAGAAGTGAAGACCTTTTTCCTACAGTGGATCATGAAGTGCTTAGTCCCACGATGCGTGCCCCAACCAATAACATTGCAACCCCAGTTCCCACCCAAGAAAACCTTGTCCCTGTGCTCACTGCCAATCATGAAGATCCTGATTTTTGGCGTTACCTAGAAGCTAACTTTCACATTCAATTCGAGTACGACCAAAACCCCACACTGGATTCAGGTGCTAACCAGCAGTTCAAATCCCCTGCAAAGACAACTACTGCTTCGGGTGAATGGAACGACTTCTCGCATGGCTCTAACATGCCTGTTTACCCTCCTCAATCACCCAATCCCTTGATCAATATTTATTGTCCTCGTTATGATGAGGCAGCGAAAAATGTGATCTTGAAAGATGAGCACTTTCCATCTGATCTTCCAGGTTTCGGTGTGAATGTGATTCCTCCCTGGTCCAACGAAATCGGCTACATGAAGCATGGTAGCAGTGGAAAACATCCTTGCATCAATGGTGATATTGACAAATTAATGAGTAGTGGAAAGCAACCTTCCATCAGTGGTGACACAGTGAAAATAATATCATCTTTTTTCCCGGGTGATTCATACCGCTTTGATCCTATTGAGATTTGCAATGCTGTACATTTCGATTCTGATTCTGATTGTACCAGTACTGCGAGGACTCGTCATCCTCAAAAAAGGTACAAGGCAGTTAAGGAGTGTGCTGCGTGCGAATATGTAGGTGGTCAAGAACATTGTGATTGGATGAATCGTGCTACAGGTCAAGCAAAACAGGAAGTCATCCCCAAAGATATGCAGAATGCAAAATCACCATCCGATGATGCTTATGGTAAGAAGAGTTGAACCTGTTTGGGAATGGATGTTATATTATGCTATTAGTATTCACGTATGTCTAGTGCAATGCAAGATATCAACCTTTACAAAACAAATCTCTAGTCTTTTGCTCTATGTAAACATTCATACTCAGATTGTACCTCCGTACAAGATATGGATGTTTATCTTATGAACCTATGCAGTTGGTAACTATATAGACCGTTATGTTATTTTTGTTTCTGTATGGATGGTTTCTGGAATCAATATCATGTATGACTACTCTATGTATTTTGCAATTATAATAATGTGTAGTAGTTTGATTTATACGTATTCAGCTACAGTTGCGCTCATTAAATAGCATGACAGAAAAACAAAGAAATCTGAAGACAAAATATATAGTGAAGTAATGCTTACATCTTCCAGAGCAGATGAATGGTTAGAAACTTCAAAGTTTAGAGGAGAAAACGTTGGTTGCGAATTTCCTTCAAGATCCCCAGCTATACCATGTAGAGCTTTAATAGTAGAACCAAACATGTTTTTAAGCTTTCCTAATCTTCCTCGTAGTTCTTCAATAGCTTTCAAAATTAAGCCAAATTAATAATGAAGTTGTATATAGACTGACAATTCAATCTCAGGAATGCATGCAAAGACAATCATCTTCTTATCTAGACCTTACCTCCGCCATCGTTGATACAAAGGACTGCATGTCCTCTTCCATATATTTTAATTGCTGCTCCTGTTGTGTCACTGCAAATGCCACAATGTTATGCAAGACTTCAAGGTGCTGAGTTAATGTGGACTGAAATTTCTTGACTAGTATCCGGTTTTCATCTTCAATTTTGTCATTCCACTCTACAAAACCATCCATGGTCATAATCATAAATAACCCGAAGTTGTGAGGGAGATCTGATGCAGCATTCTCTAGCTCTGCTCTAATTAGCTCAAATGCACGCCCAACGAGTGATTTCTCTAAAGTTAACAATGGAATAATAGTAAGAAAAGGGCATTTAAATGTACCTTCCAGCTTTAAATTAATATATGCATAAATATAAACATGAACTAGTGTAGAATAATCCCGAATGTCGACTGTATAACTTTAAAGTAAGATGAAATGGAGAGAATCTATCTATGGTCTAAAAATGCAGATGGTGGCACGACAATTTGTTTTAGCAGCCAACTTTGCTCACCCAATTGGAGGAGATTGACTATCAGAAATTCCTTCTCTTTCATGGTCGCATTTGCTTGTCAACGCTTGTCGTCAAGATTATATAGTTCATGTCCAGTTTCCTCAAGCATTATCTGAATATAAAGTGTTTAATTATCTCAGAACAAGAGCAGAATGAACAAAATGAGACTCTGTAAGTCCATATTACAAATGTATTACCTCAGTTTTTCCAAGTTTATCATTCAATTGTACAACCAAAAGTTGTTGACAACTGTAAAGTTCCTGAAGCTCCAGCAATTGCTGCTCTTAGGCCAACGTAACGTTTATATTAGTTCCCACCTTGTAGTCAATATTATTCAAAACGAAAGGAATGAAATCTTGACGGAGATACCTTGTCTTTTGAATCATAATAAAGTTCAATCCGCTCTATCTTTTCAGCCATTGCATACAGTAAATAAAGAGTTAATGAAGTTAATAACCAGTCAATTGTGAATGTAGGAAAAGCAGTCCATAATTCATTTAAATGACAAGAATAAGACCTTCTTCTCTGCTTCTTCACTAACATAACGATCTCATGGTATATATATTCCATTCTTCTCTCCGGCAGCATATACCTCTGCATGAACATAAGAAACATGTCATACAATTTAGCTTGCAGCACAGTAACACTAAAGAATCATTAAATAACCTGTGAAACAAAAAAAAAATCTCTGGACAGAGAGATTGAGAGCACATCAACGCTGGAATCAGTTAACAACCTTGCTTGAACATACGATCAATCTCAGAATACAAATCGTTGATCAAAGCAGACTTCATCATTTTTTGATTGACCTGAAACATTAACCAACAACAAACCATAACAAGGGTTAGAATGAAAGACATTTGAACTATATAATTTGTGAGAACAGGGATGGTGCAAACTTTTCACCTCTGGTTTGTTCTTTATATTTTTGGCACGGTGTGCATAGTCGAACGTGTTGAGTGTTTCTTCCAAACACTACATGAAGCTGCCACTTAAAGACACCAATTAAATATATTGCATATAATACGAAATCAAAAAACTAATAGTCAGGGCAATGCTTGGTTCAGGAATGAATGTCAAAATGTACAAATATTTCCATATCCTACAACACTGTCAGCGAATCAATACTTCGTATAACTAGTACGTTCATCAAAAGTGAGATGCTTTTACAAGCAATCTTCAAAGTCTTGGGCGTCTACATCGATTCTAACTCGAACCTCATCATTATCACCAGTTGCATGTTCGACATCTTGTCCATCGCACGGATCATCATCATGTGTTGAGGACATATCAAAGAAATCACGTGGTCTTGTTTTGATTGCAACATGCCATTCTATATCTGTTGGGTCTTGTACATAGAACACTTGTAGTGCTTGTGATGCGAGAATGAATGGGTCACTTGTAGACGAAATCTTATTGAAGTTAACCAATCTAAAGCCATATCTGTCTGATTTTACTCCCTCACCTGTATTTCTGGAAGTGCCATCAAACCAGTTGCACTTGAATAATACCACTGTCCGTTCCATATGGTACTTGATTTCAAATACATCTGTTAGAACCCCATAGTAGTCTACCAAACCGGTAACAGGGTTCCGGTCACGTGGGCCAGCATAACTTGGAACATTAGACTGTAGGAAAACACCATAGTTTTGGTAATTCCCATTGGATTGTGTGCCTATTACTTTGAACCTGAACCCATTACATACAAAAATCTTATATCTCCGACACCATTTACTAGGTCCATTAGCAAGCGCTACTAAGTCGTCAGTTGCCCTTGGGTCACTTGATTGTTGCAATTGATTAACCTACACAATTTACACCCACGTTCATATGCATAGTTAAGAATAGGAAGCTAAATAGGAAACCAGTACACGCAGAATCAACTTATTCCATACTAACATGTTTTTCAAACCAATCTGGGAAGGATTTAATAGCTTCTTTCTCTGCTTATAGCATGGTTACACGCCTCCCTCGAGTTTTTTGAGCATTCTCCACGTAACTTCTGTATGTGAAAATAAAGTCATTCTCACTCTGTATAACCAAAAGGAGAGATTCAGAAGTTGGTGCCATTTAACTGCAATATATAAGATTTAAGTGTAATCACCTCCTATATGCCATTGACTTATCACAATTGGCTAAAACATACGATCGTGCAATCTCCCAATCGTGGTTGTCAAGATGATAATCTTCCCGCATACCAAGTGAATGCCCAGTGGCACAAAATATGTCAAAGTCACCCTCATAGTCAGGACGTATTCTATCTGCATTTCGGCTTGGACGGTTCAAACGTGTCTCCACGCCTTCCAAATACATCCCACAAAAAGACAAGCACTCCTCAGCCAGATATCCTTGGGTCATGCTTCCCTCTGGTCGATTTTTATTTCGAACATACTTCTTCAACGTCAGCAGGAACCTAATTTAAATAGGACAACATCAAATTTGTTGTTCTAAATTGTATGATGCACAGATGTAATAACCATACAAATATATTAAAAGTTAAGGAATACCTCTCAATTGGGTACATCCATCTGTAGTGCACCGGACCTGCAAGTGCAGCTTCCTCGGCAAGATGTATTGTGAGGTGAAGACTGACGACAAAGAATGCAGGCGGTAATATCCTTTCCAATTGGCATAGGATCATAACTATTTTGGGTGTGAGTTTGCGAAAGCATTCCACTGACCCTTTTTTAGTACACAAATGTCTGAAGAATGCACTTAGTTCCAATAATATCTGTGCAGTCGCAGTTGGGAGGCATTTACGTATGGCAATTGGAAGGAATTGCTGCATTAAAACATGCCAATCATGACTTTTAAGTCCCCTTACGATCTTTTCCTTTGTATGCACAAGTCGTGAAATATTGGACGAGTAATTGTCAGGCACTTGTATTGAGGCTAAAACCTTGCAAAACAATTCCTTCTCTAATGGTTTCATAGTATATACACCGGGAGGCATCTTTGGCTTTCCATTGACAAATTTTCTGTGCAACTCCGGTTTCATGCCCATCAATTCCAGATCCAACCTTGCATTCAAGTTATCCTTGCTTTTCCCAACAATACCCAGCAGAGTTGCAACCAAACTTTCAGTGACATTTTTTTCAATGTGCATGACATCAAGGCAATGTCGAAGCACAAGATGTTCCCAATACGGCAACTTGAAGAAAATACTATGTTTCTTCCATGGCCCAACTGTTGCTCTAGGTAGTGGTCTTTTTTCTCCAACCACTTTCCGTGGGGTCTTACCATATTTGAACCGTAAAATGGACAACTGTCGACGACATTCACATCCGGTCACGGGGGAAGGTGCTTGCTCTCTCTCGTCAGAAAGATTAAAGGCTTTCCTCTGTCGACGAAAAACATGTGACATGGGCAAGAAACGACGGTGACCCATATAACAATATTTCCTACCCTTTTTAAGATATGTCGACTCAGTCTTGTAGTTGCAACAAGGACATGCTAATTTCCCATGTGTGCTCCAACCGGACAAGTTCCCATAGGCGGGGAAGTCGCTAATAGTCCATAAAACAGCTGCTCGTAAGGTGAAGGTCTCTTGCCTAAATGTATCATAAGTGGGAACCCCTGAGGTCCACAATACTTTCAGCTCGTCTATTAATGGTTCAAGGTATACGTCAATATCATTTCCCGGAGATTCTTTTCCCGGTATTAACAAAGCCATCAATATGAACGGTGCTTTCATACACAACCAAGGTGGTAAATTGTAGACAGTCAACAATACTGGCCAGATGCTATAGTCGGAGCTGCATTTTCCGAAGGGGTTGAATCCGTCACTTGCCAACCCAAGACGTACATTGCGCATTTCATCACCAAATGTTGGAAATTTCAAATCTAATTGCTTCCATGCAAAGGAATCAGCTGGATGTCTTAAGAAGCCATCCTCGGGGCGAGAAAGCCCATGCCAACACATATCTTCACTGGTGTGTCGAGACATGTAAAGCCTTTGTAAGCGAGGTGTAATAGGAAAATATCTTAGCACCTTCCGAGGTATTCTCTTTTTACTGCTTCGTGATGTCTCATCAACCTCGGTTGTATATCTGGACACACCACATGTTTGACAAGCATCTAAACCACTGTTATGTTTCCAATACAACATGCAGTCATTTTCACATGCATGGATCTTTTGGTGAGGCAACATGAAATTTTTCAGCAATCCCTTTGTACTCATCACGTTATTTGGTAAAGAATGACCATTTGGGAGTATATGTTTCAAAAGCTGAAGATTAGCTTGCACTGCACTTTCGCTGCACCCATATAAACACTTGTTTTGAAATACTCGTATTAGGAAGTCCATTTTCTTCATACCACAACCCGGATATAATTCTGCGTTGCCGTCTTGCACCATGGCTTCAAACTTACGTGCATATGCAGGTATCACAGTTTCCTGCCCGCTGTGATTATTAATAGGCATGCCACCCATTACACTGGGACCAGAGAAAATATCTTCAAGCAAGGGGCCTAGTTCACAATAAGGATTAGTAACAGTAGCACTTTGTTGTGCAGCTTGGCTACTTGCAATAGGGTCACCAAATGTCTCTCCATGCCATACCCACGAGCCTTCCAAGTATGAACGGTCCATACCTTCAACAATTAGATGTGCTTCAACTTCATTCTTACTCAACCAGAACCTATTCAAGCATTTAGCACATGGACATTTGATGTTGCCATCAAGAGAAGAAACTTGCAATGAGTTTGAGATAAATTTTGCTAGCCCTGTTCTGTAATCCTCTGTAAACGGATTCAAACTGGCCCAACTTTTGTCCATCATTACTGAATATAATCAATAGTTTGCAGAATTGGAACAATAAGGTGCCTAAAAATGAATGCACCCACCCTCTCTCTCTCTGTCTCTTTCCTTGTAATTGCGCACCCAAACCCTATGGAAAATCCAACTGTCAGAAAAGGAAATGAATGGGAAATCCAACAGTGAGATAAGGAATTCTAACCTATATTCATATTAGAGATAAGCATAAATGTAGGAAAAGATTTATAACATATTCGAAAAGTGTAGAGAAATGGGATTTGAAGAACCATTTTAATGAAAACAGAAAGGAAGGAATATGCAATTTTTAACACCCCAACCACCATTATCACTTTTACACCCTGTTGTGGTTTCATAAGCTTCTCATTTTCTTAGTATGAAGCTCTCTTTGTGGGCCAAAATTATAATAATAATAACAATACTAATTCAAACAGTAATGGAGATTACCAAGGAAATGAGTTTTAGGTTCTGAATGGTTTACTAATTCGCATCCATTTGGTGTGAAGACTTTCTTTGTTTCATGTTAGGTGACGCACAAAATCTCACAAATGGTGGTTCGACAACTGACCTTGCTCCTAACAAACTGCAAGAACAGAAATTAAATCATATGAAAATAGTAAAAAATTATTCTTTCATCGTAAGTCATAAGGCTCGAAATTTTCTATCAAACTAATTCAGAACCTCAAACAGAAAACAAAACTTCAACATTCACAGTAACAACCCTGAACAATGAACGAAACATTAAACTGAAATCAAATCATGTCATACCTTTTTAGGTGATGCCCCTATCAGAACATCAGATAATGTACCTCAAAATGGACTGAAAAGTGGCAATGAGAAGAAAACCAAGCAATAAATAGAAGCAAATACTTCATGATAAAAACTGTGTTCCAATGTACGACAAAAAATTGTAGTGCTTAGACAACTGGCTCAGGTGAGAGCACCAAAAGGGAGACCCCAACAGTCATTGATAAAGAGAATGTGTTTGTGCCAATAAAAGCCTCCTTGAAGTTAGAGAGAGATATGAAGTACTACTCTACCGCTCTTTGATTATAACTTCTAGATTTTATTAGATCATCTACGTCATCTATGGAGGAATAGACCATATGGGTTTGCTCACCCCCCGCAAGTGGTTAAAAAAAACAATGCAGGCTCAAGCTAAAGATGTCTGCATCTGCTAAACAAAGAAGTCAATGCCTACAAGCAGTTAGTAGGCAAACCTGGAATATGAAGACTCAGACTGTCAAACAGAACCATTACAGATGCTTACTTTGACCTTAAGCTGGTTCTTTACATATAAGATGGTAGTAATACCTTTTCATGGAACACGAACACACTGAAAAAAATATATCCAAAATTAGAGTGTGTTGTTTTTAGCAGGTGCTTCTAAAATTTTACAGTATGATTGTCGGACGGCCATGTGATATTATGTTTATATTTCATATAAATAATACATATCTAATTAATGTATATCAACTGTTATTCACTCATAATTTAGCTAATGAATATGCGTAACTATGTGACTGAAGAAAGACACAGCTCTTTAGTAAAGCTGTGTCCAGCAACCCATGGGATTATGGAATGTTAATCCATCACTCTTGGAGAGCGGTGGAAAAGCTCTAATAAGGGAAAATCGCATAGTTATATCTATTGACGAGACAAAATGAATGCACGTAGGTAAACAGCAGGGAGTTGTCCAACAGAGGTCATGTCGCTTCCTCGTCCACTAATAATAACATCGTTTTGAAGGTGTAGACCACATAACGAAGCATGGAATGTAGCTTAACTATTAGTTCTCATGCAGTGGTAGTAGGTATCAGCTAAAAAGCATACCAAAACTTAAAAACAGACAAATTATCATATGCAAGTTCGTTCATAGCCATGTTTCAATAAGCCACTTTCTCTACCAAAGTCTTTTTTTGTGTTTATGATGTTTACAGAACATACACAGAAAATGCGATATCCGTATAGCATAAGCTTAACCAACAGTGGAACTTTACATTGACATTTCTACTTATATCCCTTTTCTTTTAGTTTGTACAAGCTGTAAGGATAGTAGTTTGTAAAAAAAATGTAGTTGCGATTGCCTAACTCGTCCTTTCGTTGAAACAGTAAACGAATTCATATATTTATATAACAAGAAATGAACACCTAGCTTATATCTCCAAGAACAATAATAAGCTTAAACCCTATATGGTTTGCAGTTTGATCCAACTTGAACAGATAGAAGAAGCACTTCAAACCCAACCTTTAAAAACTCCAAAGATTCAAAGACTTAATAAACAAATTGAAAAGTTAGATCTTAAAAATGCTGAAATTAAATATAAGAAACACAAAATTACCTGTTTTTACTCCCTAAAAGCAATTCAAGGTGATGCAGCCCCAAATTAATTGTAAGAAACCCAAGCGAACATAAATAATGAACCGAGCAGCTTAATCTGATGAGAAATTGAAAGGGTGATGTATGAGAAACAGATAACCAGCATCGCGGGAGTGGAGCTTCCGCTGCCCACGCCCGTCGCCAACTAAACGAGCCTGCTCACAGTCTTGACAGCTATGCCCTGTCCGCATCGTGGGAGTGCAACTGGTTCACGGAACTACCCGACTTCATCATCGATGCAATAATGGCCGAGAGATGCGATTAGGGTCCAACGCTCTGTCCTTCTATGGGTTTTGGCCTCTCTATCTCCCTTTAGTAAGTCATCATAGGTTTTGAGAACCAATCAATATATATCCCTGCTTTGAAAACCAAAAAATTAACCAGCACCAGGTCCGAACAAAATAATAATGTAATAAAAAAGTAGAAGAAAAGTAAATTTAAGAAATAAAGTTAGCTAACTGATACCAATATTGGTGGCTGATTTTTAAGGCCACTGATATCAGTGGAATCCCACTGTTTCGCCACCAAAAAATAGTAAGAGTAGCAACTTTATATCCATGGCCACCAATTGCAAAGGGTGGGCAAAAAATGGTGTGTAATGAGCATATTTCTAGTAGTGTAAGTCCAATGTTGATTCCTTCAGACATATCAATGGGGCAAATGCGTCCATAGTGACTATGGTGGATATCTCGTATACGAAAGCTAGCAATTCGCCCTGTCAATCCTCCAGGGCCCAGATAACTTGATTTTCTTCCATGAACTATTTGTGTCAATGGATTAGTTTGGGATCTTATCCAGATCCTTTCCTCAGGGATCCCGACCGTTGAAATTTGATTCAACGACTATAAACAGGGGCCTTCTTTAAAAGTTATAATAACTTTAGCCGTTGAATCAAATTTCAACTGCCCAGATCCCTAGACTTGGTGGCTTAGGAGGAAGGGATCCATCCCTTTCCGATGGAAAAGATCCCCTCTGGATCTCTCCCACCAAATTCTAGGGATCTGAAGATCCGGACCCTTAAAATTTGATATAACGGCCACAAACAGGAGATCCCTCTAAAAGTTATAATAATTGTAATAGTTTGATCAAATTTCAAAAGTCCAAATCTCCGAATTCCAATGATTTGATGGAAGAGATCCGAAAGGAATACGATAAACATGTTTGAAAAAAAGAAAACCCCCGAGGTGGCTGTTCGTTGTTGGCTAACATCACCCAGATCCACGTGGGACCCCACAAACCAGAAGTCGTAGGAGAACAAACCCGAAGTGACTGTGATGTACGGAAACAAGAAAGCCCAATAGAAGCGGTGACGAATGGCATCACTTCACCCATCCCAGCGGCCAATAACAAGCAGCCAGCTACAAAACTGAAAGGGATGCCCCGCGCGCGTCGTAGCTGATTTACGGTAGGTGGCAGAACATGATTCGCCCGTCAGGAGTGGTGGAGCTGTGTAGATGTGAATCTAACTGGTGCTTGGAGAGTGGCGTCAGATATCGGGAAGAGACACAGTGAGTTGAAACGGACGAGCGCGGTTATTGGCAGATGCAGAAGAGGGAGAAAGAGAGAGGAAAAGGAAAGGGAATTACGTCAGAACTGCATGGACGCGTAGCATCAAATGGCGATGCCCGCCGCTTCACCCGCGAATCCAGACAAAGCTTGTTAATTAGGTCAATTATCGAACCTTTTAATTTAATTTTATTTTGTTTTTGGACTAAATTTTGGACTTTTATTTTATTGGAATTAAATATTGGACTCCGGGAATTACAATCTAACCAATAGAAGTTAGAAATGCGTAGTCGGTCCACATACACACTGTCTCTCTCTACAAATTCTAGAGAAAACGGAGAGAAAAATATCAAAGATGTTAACCGTTCCATTTAACATTCCTTAGTAATTAGGGGTTGGTTTACATGTTTGTTTTTGTTGTGTAATCATGGCATTTTCACAGACTGGACTCATTCCATGCATTATATGATTGCATTTTTACCTTTTATAGTAACTAGGGTTTGTTTATATGCTTTATTTTTGTTCGTTTATTGGTGTAACCATGGAAAAAATATGTAAACGAACCCTTTTGAACTAAAAAAAAAGAATGGTAAAAAACCTAATTGCCAGCCAATGTTAATGTAAATATGTAAGATGAGGTTAATTAATTATGATGGGGGGTTAATAATAATAAAGGCTGAGGCACCGCACGGTGGAACCATTCAGGTGGGAACGTATGGTTGGTGGCACAAAATACGGAGTTAGGGCTGAGAAAGCAGAGGCACGAGGTTTTGTTTTGTTGTTTCTTTAATCCGTCCTCTCTTATTACTCTCCCTTCTCTCTCTAAAACTGCCTCTTATTTTCTTCTCTCTCTTACTTAATAGGTCATGTATGTGAATGGATAGAGGGATGAAATTCAGATAAAAAAACCCCAGGAAAAAAACCAATTGAACTTTATCTCCATAAATAAAAATAAATAAATAATAACTAAAAAAACAAAATTTATCAGAAATCTTGGTGATGCAAATACATTGAAACTCCCCAGAAACAACCAAACCACACATGGGGGTTGTTGAGAGATTTTTCTTCCCCCCCCCCCTCCATTTAACTATGCGCCTTCTCTCTCCACACTCCTGAACATAATCACTTCTATATCCTCCACTATTCTACTCTCTCTCCACCGCGGCTCCGCCAGGTTCCAGCCCTGCCTGTGAAGAACTAGGGTTTGTTGAAGTTGTTTTTCTGTTGGTCTGCGCAGAATCAATGTTTGTTGAGGCCGATGTTTTGTGATAATAACGTGATTAAATATGAATAGATTCACGGATTAGAGAGTGGTGACGTCGCTTTCTGTGACTAAATAAGTTATTATTATATTTTGTGTGGTTTAGATATATGTCTTTGCTGCTGTTGTTGATAGACCAGATGTTTTATGTTGCCTCTGTGTAAGGGTTTGATACCAAAAGCGGGTCCTTTCAATCTCTTGCTTCCTTTATCCAATACAGTCTTATTTCCCCCCCCACTTGCACTTATCCGTACACAGAAGAAGAAGAAGAATTAATCCCCGTATTATCCACTCTCTCTTTCTCAAAAATATCTGATACCAACAGAAAGGCAAAAAATACACAAAAAATTCCGAAAGGGTTTTGTTTTTGTTCATTGAAGATCAAAAGTTTCAAAAGAAATGAAGAGGGAGCAAGTTCAGGTTCAGGTTCCGGTTCTTCATCACCATCAAGATCTGCATGCAGAAGATCAGGAGGATACTCTCGGAGTGGACCCCAGAGAGATGTGGCTTGACGATAGCCAGGAGACTGCTCTCCTTGCCGATATCAATGACCCTTCCATCTTCTACAACGACCACTTCCCTCCTCTCCCGGACTTCCCATGCATGTCCTCCTCTTCCTCCTCATCCTCCACTCCTGCACCGGTCAAGCCAGTCACGTGCTCTTCCTCCTCTTCATCGGTCTCCTCGTCCTCCTCCGCGGCCTCTTGGGCCGTTCTCAAGTCGGACGCGGAGCCCGAAGATGGAGAGAGAAAGCAGCAGCCCAACCAGAACAGTTACCACCACCAGCACTCGCAGATTGATGATCAGACAGTTGATGCGCATGCCTTGTCCTCCACCGCCTCGATGGAGATCTCTCAGCCGTTGGATCTCAGCGGTGGTGGTGGCGGAATAGATTGCATGGATGAGACGGAAACTTTTGGGTACATGGATCTCTTTGAACCCAACGAGTTTTTTGACCCTTCTTCCATTTTCCAAAGTGACAGCCTTTTCATGGAGCAGTTTCAACAAGATCAAGATAATCAGCAATTAGCCATGGCTCAACTATTACAAGACCATCATGAAACCGTTACTACTATTCAGTCTAATCCCCAACAACAAAAACAAGTAGTTGGACATGATGAGGAGAATACTAATAAGGATCTGAGTAATGAAGACAAGGATCCGGACGACATGGCCATGGTGTTCTTGGAGTGGCTGAGGTCCAACAGAGAGACGGTCTCCGCCGAAGACTTGAGAAGTGTGAAGATCAAGAAGTCGACGATCGAGTGCGCCGCCAGGCGCTTGGGCGGAGGAAAAGAGGCCATGAAGCAGTTGCTTAAACTTGTGCTTGAGTGGGTTCAGACCAACCATCTCCAAAAGAGGCGCAGCAATAGCATCATCACCAAAGACTCCAACATAATCACCCAACAACAATACCAAGATCCTTTTCTAAACCCTAACCCTAACCCTAGTTCTAGAGTATTTGAATCAAACCCTTCTCGTAATTTCACTCAAACACAATGGATGGCGCCTCCACCACATGCAGCCGCCTATGATCCGGCAGCCGGGGGACTACTTATCCCCACTCCTCCTCCGGCTCCTCCTCCGCCTGCGACTTATCCTTCCATGATGGGGTACATGGCAGCTGACCCTTTGGGGAATGGGCCAAGCCCATACCAAACATCTCCGGAGTATCATCATCACATGATTGAATCCGGTCAGCCATCATGGCCGTCTTCTCTGTTCGGTATGGGAACAGCCCCTTACGGGTCATTCCAGGATAACAACATTCACCTAGCCCCTCCCCTACACCATCCCCAGGCTTTTGCCGGGTACGGCAGTCAATACCAGCCTTATCAATATTTTCCCGGGAATGGTGAGCATCAGTTGATGAGGTTAGGGTCTTCGGCTACCAAAGAGGCAAGGAAGAAACGGATGGCGAGGCAGAGAAGGCTTGTGTCTCACCATAGGCACCACGGCCATCAACAGAATTCTCAGCAACTTAATAATCAAATGCCAGATCATCACCATCTTCAGCAGACAAGGCTTGTTGGGAACACTACTGATCTTAATTGCACTGGTGCTGTGCCGCTGCAGGCCAATCCGGGCAACTGGTTTTACTGGCCCACCGCCACTGCGGCCCCGTCCCCTTCTGCGGTGGCCATGATGCCTAGCATTATGCAGGAAGCCGCACCACTTCCGCCAGTGCAGCAGATGGATCGGCCAGCTAGTACTCAAGCACAGAATTACAATCACGGTCGTAGTGCTGTGCAGGAAAGACAAGAAAGACAGGAGAGGCGTCAGGTGGGTTTGTAATTTGGTGCAGTTTTTTCTTAGCATTTTTATTTCGTTCGATATTAATTGATTGGATACTCTCCAAAAATTTATTAATTGATTGGAATTATATGAACAACAATTGATTACATGCAATTGTGTTTTTTTTTAAAGGGATGGAAATCTGAGAAGAATCTGAAGTTTCTTCTTCAGAAGGTGTTGAAGCAGAGTGATGTGGGTAGTCTTGGAAGAATTGTGTTGCCAAAAGTTAGTTATTAATTTCCTTAATTGGTTCGAAAGATTAATTGTATTACTTGTATGGGAAACAAATTGTATTGAGTGGAAATTGTTGTTTTTGGTGTTAATATCAGAAAGAAGCAGAAACCCATCTTCCTGAATTGGATGCAAGAGATGGGATTTCCATTCCAATGGAGGACATTGGGACTTCTCGTGTGTGGAACATGCGCTACAGGTATTCTACAAATATTGAGTCTCTTAATGTCCATTTTGCAGTCACAAATATTAGGTTCATTAATGTTAATTTCATTGCTTTTAGTACATTCAGAAATTATAAGTAATTTTGTTGTCCCCCTTTCTTCTTTGTATGTGGAGTTTCAGGTACTGGCCCAACAACAAAAGCAGGATGTATCTCCTTGAAAACACAGGTGCGCATTGATGAATTATATTTATTAAGCATCAAGCATTGTTTTAATTGTCTTTCTAAATTTCAACTGATTTATGTTATTGAAGGAGATTTTGTGAGAGCAAATGGACTCCAAGAAGGAGACTTCATAGTCATCTACTCCGACGTGAAATGTAACAAATATGTAAGCATCAAGGACATCACATCCTCTTTTTTAATTAGTTTTTTTTTATCACATGAATATTAATGTTATTAGAGAATTAGTAATTTTTTCAAATATTGTTGTTAATTAGTATAAACCAAGTTGGCTACTAATGCGATCCACTCTAAATAAAAAAAATGGTGTTAATTATGTTTTTGTTAATGTATATGTATATATGTGTATAGATGATACGAGGAGTGAAAGTACGGCAAGCGGGGCCAAAATCAGAGAGGCAGGCCGGGCCAAAATCAGAGGGCAACAAAAGGCCAGGAAAGTCGCAAAGGAACCAGCATGCAAGCACTCCACCTGGCAACAATGGTTCGTCACCTTCTTCAGCCACAACCGCACACAAGAAAGAAAGAGTAAAGTAAGAGATAAGGGAAATGAAAGAGATGACCAACTGCAACTTAGATACCTCTTACGTTTTTTCTTCTCTCTTACATGCATGAAACGAATCGGCTGATGGACGGTGAAGATAGCCTAGGGTTTGATGAATCTCAGTTGATCGACGACTCTCTGCAAATCATATCTAGCTAAGCCTCCTTGTCTTTAATTGGTCCATTTTTCTCTCTGGTCAAGTTAAGCTGCTATTTCATGGAGGAGACGATAATGCGTTAGAAAATAGTGAAGCTTTTTACGCAGGTTGGTTTCAGTCAGGAATGGCAGGACTTTTGGTTTCTGGATAACATGGTCTGATCAGTTACAATGTACAGGCAGTTTCAAAATATTGTTTTGGTTAATTAGGGAGGTGTATTATTATGTGATATTATATGTGTTGGGGCTGATAAATCGGGTATTATATAGCACCCCAATTAAGTTTATAGTGTATGTTGTGCTTGTCAATTATTGACATGTATTTTGTAGAAGTTAAAACTCTTAAATTATTTATATGGGAAGGGATATAATGCTCCTCATTCGTTGTGTACTATTAAAAACATGTTTGCATTGCTGTTTGCTGTATGTTGTTATAAGTGGTGTACTATTTGATCATATTAAAATATATAAACTCAACTGCACTATAAATGTATAATTTTCAGCCAGTCGTTATCAGTGACCTATGCCGTTTTATGTATTTTTAATGAATATCATCGCATTGCACTCGACAGATGGATCGACTTATGTAAAAGGTAATTGTTCTTTTAGAAGGACAAGAAAGGGTATATGGTCATTATTTTGATTATTCATATGGAATTGGATTCTATCATACGCTAGGGAACTAGTATTAGGGAATTATTTTTGGTATTCTAAAAATTTAATTATGAAATTCTCGTTATTTTTTTTAAATATAGAAAGTTACACATTTAGATTTTTAGAGTTTTAGTAACAGTTTTTATTTTTGGAAGTATAAGGATGGATGCTGCTTTGTGTTCTTTCATCGAGAGCATACTTATTTCCTCACTTATAATTAAGGTCTAAGGTGTAGAATAAGGTATAAGGTCTAAATTAAAAACGATGAATATTTTCTTATTTAATTGGCAAACGTTGTTGGTGATGGCCAAAATAAAGATATAAGGTATAAATTAAAAAGGATGGATATTTTCTTATTTAATTGGCAAATGTTGTTGGTGATGGACATGGTAGTGGGAGTAGTCACGACAACATAGATGGCAACAACATTGGTGGTGATGGGAGCGACAATGAAGGTGGTGCCAATAGTAAGGTGTGATGGTTGGGGTGTACAAGTACAAGTGGTGGCATCATAAGTGGTGGTGATATGGTGGTAGTGAAGGTGGTGGAGGTGGTGGCGGTGGTGGCGGTGGCGGCGACGTCTTTGGCCGTGTGATGTTAGCGATGGTGTAACGCTAGTGGTTGCAATTGGAGGTGGTGGCAACAAGGGTGGTAATGGTGGCGTCGTTGACCGTGTGATATTAGCGGTGGTCTAGTGCTAGTGGTTGCAGTTGGAGGTGGTGGTGATAAGGGTGTTAATGGTGGCGGTGATAGTAATAACACGTACTGCAGGTGTCTCTATATAAGTGGTGAGATTTTTGTGTTAAAACTTTAATAACATAAAAAATAAAATTTCTCATCACTTACATAATAACACGTGGTGTACTATTTGTGTTACGGACACAAGGAAAAATTTCTGCAAGATGATACCCAAGCTCAAGATATTGGATGGAGAGCTACGTTCAATTATTTTAGGTATGTAAAAAATGTGAGGGAGTTTTAATATGGTAATTGAAAATAACTTTTGAAATATAATTACTGAGAACATAATCTTCTCAAGGTTTCGATTTAAAGGATCACTTATGGGCTCATCGTTTTTGGCGCAATTGGTGCTTTTACAGGACCAAACAAGGTCTAAGTTTCAAACTTTGTGAAACTAAACCAAGAATAAGACACTATTTATAAAATTTGACCAATAAGTAGACACTATTTATAAAATTTGACCAATAAGTAAACATTATTTATGAAATTGGACCAATAAGTAGACATTATTTATTAAATGAAACCAATAATTAGGTATTATTTCTAAAACTAAACCAATAGGTGGAAACTATTTATGAAACTAGACCCAGTAACTAAGCACTATTTATGAAACATGACCAAGAACTATGCATTGTTTATGAAAGTGGACCAATTACTAGTGTAGTACCATTCAGTTTCATAAATAGTGTAGTACCGTTTAGTTTTATAAATAGTGTTCAGTTTCATAAACAGTGTCTGTAATGGAATGGCGGGTAATATAAATTTTTTTCATTAAAATTTAAGTGCTTTTGTCCATTTTATTAAAATTTAAGGGGTTTTCATTAATATTTAAATTTTTTCATTAAATAAAGTTATAGCATGAATTTTGGTTAAAATAAACTTAGTCTAAACCCTTTTCATTTTAGGCCCATGCTAAAAAGGGGGAAAAAAAAAAAGAGTTTTAATGAAAAGGGCTTAGACCAAGATTATTTTAATAAAAAAACACCATATAGTTTTCTTTAATAAAAAACACTTCAAAATTAACCATAAAGATATAGGCCTCCAATTCTACATGGGCTGAATTACAGAGCCCAACAGAAACAAACATAAGTTTCCAAAATTACCCTAACAAGGAGGGGCAAGACTGAAACTTGTTTGTTCTCATGAAGGAGAAAACTCATGTCAGCTCCAAGCAGAGCGTCGATCAGCGTTTCATTTTTTGGGTTTTTCTTCCTTCATTCTCGGTGCATATATCAGTTTTTGAATTTCCTTGTCCAAATTAGATTCAGATTTGGAGAATAACCAGACTTTGAGAAGAAGAAAAAATCCCAAATTATTGAATCCAAACTCCAAAAGTACAATTAAAAAGAAACAAACAGGAAAATAGTTGTGTAATTGAATCAAGGAGGAGGACACTCAAACTAAATCCATTTTCCATGGAACATGAAAAAACCAAAAATTCCAATTCCTTACACCCATTTCTCCATAAAACTAGAAAGAAAAATATATCTTTACCTGTGATAGAACCACCTTCCCCAATTACAAAATCTGGAAAAGAAAAAAAAAATGGAAAAAGTAGACGAGAAAGAGAGAGAAAAGTGACTTCAACCATGGCATTCAACTTTCATAACACTGTTAATGTTAAACATTTCTAGGAAATAGTATGATTTTTTTGCCACTTTTTTAGAAAACAATGCGACCCGTTATGTTTTGAATTCGTAACTGTTTCTGGAAAAACTAACACTGTCTCTGAAAAAACTAACACTGTATCTGAAAAAATTAACACTGTCTCTGGAAAAATTAACATTGTTTCTGGAAAAACTAACACTGTCTATGAAAAAACTCTGGAAAAACTAGCATTGTTTCTAGAAAAACTAACATTGTCTCTGGAAAAATTAACATTGTCTCTGAAAAAACTAACATTGTCTCTAGAAACAGTGGCTTAGATTTCAGAAACAATGTTACCTAAAATCTAGAAACAGTTTATTTTTACAGTCCAAAAACAGTAACTCGTCATTGTTATTGAATAGCATGCAGATCTCAAATTTATTTTCTGGAGAAACAAACAATGAACTCCACTGACGAAGAAAAATTGAAAAACATTACCTCAAAACCACTATGAATAATAACGACGATCACATTTCAACGGAATAATACAAAATATAAATTAAATAGCATGAGAATATATATTTTTGTTTCAAAGAAAAAGAAGAAGGTCTGCAAAACAACGATGAACTCCATTAACGATGAAAATCTGGAACTCAACCTAAAAAAGTTAAGGGTAAAATTGACAAATCATAATTTATTATAGTTTGGCCATTTTTAGTTAGACTGCTTTAATATGGGCCTTGTACTAATCATAAAACTTATAACATGGTTTTTTATTAAAACTAAAACTTTTCAAGCTCTTTTCATTAGTTTTCCTAAAAAAAACTAAGCTTTCCATCCACTACGGAAAATCATTTCCTTTACTGTGAGAAAGCAAAATAAATTATTGGGAAAATTACATTTTACCCCCTCTAGTATGGGGTCAATTGCAAATTCATACAACATATTTAAAACATTTCAATTTCATACATTTCGTTATATTTCTTTTCAGTTTCATACATCAGTTAAAAAATATGTTAAATTAACCGTTAAGTGATGATGTGGCAAATATAGGGTCCACATTTGTGCTGACATGGATGCCAACTTTGCACCTTGTGAATTAAAAGTAATGAAAAAAGGATTAGTTAATAAAAAAAATCAAGAATTTGATTCTTAGTTTGGGAAGCTTCTTCCGACGCCGCCTTCTCCTTGATTCGACTCCATCCCCATTTGCTTGTTCGTCTCCAATAAGTCCATCAATGACATCCTTACCGGCTTTACCGTCCCCAACGCTGCACCCATCTCTCCCGACGACACGTTATTTCCTGTTTCTTCTCCCCTCTCGTCGGCTTCTTCGTCAAGACGATGCTGCCGTGACAGCTTCTTGCACTGCTACAGCTTCCTACACTGACAATGATCCCTTCTTGTTTAGCTTCGCCATTAATCACCGTCTTGGCGAGCCTTTCGCGACCTCATCGACCATGAACCGCACGTAGCTCTAGCACGAGAACATCAAGGCAGGGGGTTGTCTATTAAAGAAATCAACCTCATCTCATTGAAAGACTTACACAAATCTAGAATAAAGAATTCTAGAACATTCACTAAAGTTGGTTAGCTAGATTATCCAAGTTAAAGTAGTCCTTTGTAGAAAAGACTAGAATGTTGTTTCTTAAGTTGGTGGAAGAATTTAGAAGAATGGTGAGGCTTCCACCAACATGCAAGATTAGTGTAGATAATTATAGCTTAGGAAGTTAGTGGAATTATCTAGATATCTTTAGCATGATGTGTCCATGCTTCTCCAAGGTTCCATCCATGCCTATAAAAGGAGAAGGCATCCACACCATTTGTATCAACAATAAAAAAAGCAAGAAGAAGA